ACTGCACGAGCACCTGACGCTAGAAAGGCTCGACACATGCTAACTACTCCTTCAGCTCTGATTTCACCACGTCCACTGTGACAGCAGCTTAACACAACTAACTGTGCACGTACTTGAGCCTGCTGTACATCAGCCACGGTCAGCATGTAATCTTCTTCATCTGGGGTCTTTGTTGTTCTTACCTCAGGAGAAGGTGCAAGTGCTATCGTACCTTTAGTGAGACTGCCGTGTGCAGCAATATGTACGACAGATACTCCTTCTTTGAGTCTCTGGATAACAGCTTGTTTCGTAGCCTTCTCTCCTGTCAAAGGCGTCGCATTGAATACATTGCCTACCGCGATCACTTCAGCAAACGCATTATCCAAAGGATCAAACTCTTTCTCTTCCCCATCGAACATGACTTTACCAACAAGAGGATTTCCAACGATTAAGGCGCCTTTCTTGGAATAATAATCTTCTGTGCAATCTTGCAACGCCTTTAAAGTCGCTAATGAAGGAGCAAGTCTAATGCGCTTTGTCTCTGATAAATACTTTCCTGTACGAGGATCTCGTAAGGCGGGAAAAGGCACTTTGAATAAGGGACCATCGGGAATAATAACAACCTCGTCTTGCTTCGACAATAGTATTTTATCACATTCTAAGATATCAAATAGATCTTCTAGAGTAGATCCCTTGGTTTCAGCACTATTCTCATTAGATTCTCCTGTGTTAGAATCAAGGTTCAGCAGTGATGCCGTTGGTTGATTAAGTCCCTCGTATTCTTCTTTGCTTCTTCTTTGTTCTTTTTGAATATCTTCTTCTTTGTCCAAGGACCTGTTCTCACAGTCAACTACCTCACCAACACCCATATCGTCAAACAACTGATCGACGTATTTCTGTAGCGAATGATTAGGAAAACTTGAATRACGCAAATTTGTCTCCCTGTCAATAAAAAACTTCAGAAAAGCATCAAAACAAAGCGAGTAAAAGACAATGCTGAAGTGATTTCTTGAGACCAGAGACAAAACATCGCTGTGCTCTAGGTGTTCATCATTGCTCATCTCTTGTTCCATCTTGAAGTTTGACATCATAAGATCTTTCAATGCTCTTGCACGACAACGATCTAACACTAAAAGCGCTTCCTCGATCTGTTCGTCATTGATTAACAATATTGCCAACAGCTTATAACTATGAATATATTCGTCAAAAATTGAGATCTTGAATTCATCACGACTACCAAGTGTGGTAAAGATCGCTTCAAAGCATCGTATAGCTTCTCTTAGATAATGTTCTGCCAAGTTCGGTTCTCTGTTTAATGAATACAATAATTGACCAAAGCTACAATAGAATTGAGCTCCATGAGTATCAGAGCAGGATTCAGCAGTAGGTAGCCCTTGTCTGAAACTGCATAAAGCCATGTCATTCTGATCCATCAAATGATAGGCGTTTCCGATTTCTGTGAAACAGAACAAGTTCACAGAAGGTTTCATGTCCTTCTCCTTTATCTGCTCAAGGCAATTTATTGCTTTTTGATAATCTTTTTTGGAAGAATAAAACTTGTAAAGCCTCAATAAAGCTCTATCTTTCTTTGGTTTCTCGCCTGTCTTCACCGCTTGGTCAAGATCCTGTAGAAGCTCATCTTCAGAACATGTTGGTACCATGGGTGCATGTACCTTCTCATGCAAACCAACTCTCAAATAAAGACTAGAACGAATTTCTTTTAATTTTTCCTCAGCTTCTTTGTCTCCGAGCTCTGTAGCAATCGCCATGCCTGCATCTATACTCTGAGACGCTTCATTCAACTGGAACAAGTCATTATATGTTTGAGCGAGAATAACATGTCCTTCCATCTCAGTTTTTTTGTCGCCAGTTTCTTGAGAGATGTCCACGCCTTTCTTACCGTATTGGATGACATTATCGATGCTTTCCTTATCATCTGATTTTTGGTATACAGACGAAAGAAGTAAACATGCTTGTGCTTCAAATATTTTCATACCAGTTTCCTGTGCCATGTCGATGTATTTCTTAATGTATCGTGCTGCATCATTGTCCTGTTCCAGTACAGCATATGTCTCTCCTAGACACAGATACGTTGCTATATCCGCTCTCCTCATGTCTATACATTGCTTGTAATTCTGAATGGCTTCATCGTATTTCTCCAAAGACCGGTAAACGTTTCCCAAAGTCAGATACGCAATAAAGTGAGCACGTTTTTCTTCATTATCTTCCTTGTCAATGTGAACACACTTGTTGCAGTTGGAAATGGCATCATCGTATTTCTCCAAGGAATAATATATCTCTCCAAGTTCGCTATAAGCATCAGCCTCCGCATCTTTATCGCCAATAGTTATTGCTAGCTCAATACACTTCTTGCAATAGATAATTCCATTGTCGTAGTCGGAAAGAGCGTTATATATCTGCCCCATTAATAGGTAAGCCCTGACTTCAATGCGTCTGTCTTCTATCTCCCTTGCTATTTCAATGCATTTCTGTAAAAAGTCAATGGCCTCTTGATAGTGGTTCAATGCACGATGTGATCTTCCAAGCTCTAAGTACACTTTCATCATAATCTCCTGATTTTTATTTTTCATGGCGCAATCAAGGAACTTGTGCGCATACAGAATAATGTCATCATATTTCTGCATGTATTTATATGCGACTACTATGCAGTTATATGCCATTATCATGTCTTCAGCACTATCAATTTCCTGGGCAATTTTAAGACATTTTTTGCCACAGTCAATAGCATCATCATAACGAGCTAAGGATGAAAACCCATCTCCCAGCCTTAAGTACGCTTTCATCATAGCCTCCTGATTGTTGTTTTTCATGGCGCAATCAAGGAGCTTGTGCGCATACAGAATAATGTCATCATATTTCTGCATGTGTTTATATGCGACCATTATGCAGACATATGCTTTCATCTCGACGTCAGCACTATCAATTTCCTGGGCAATTTTAAGACATTTTTTGAAGCAGTCAATAGCATCATCATAACGAGCTAAGGATGAAAACCCATCTCCCAGCCTTAAGTACACTTTCATCATAATCTCCTGATTTTTATTTTTCATGGCGCAATCAAGGAACTTGTGCGCATACAGAATAATGTCATCATATTTCTGCATGTATTTATATGCGACTACTATGCAGTTATATGCCATTATCATGTCTTCAGCACTATCAATTTCCTGGGCAATTTTAAGACATTTTTTGCCACAGTCAATAGCATCATCATAACGAGCTAAGGATGAAAACCCATCTCCCAGCCTTAAGTACGCTTTCATCATAGCCTCCTGATTGTTGTTTTTCATGGCGCAATCAAGGAGCTTGTGCGCATACAGAATAATGTCATCATATTTCTGCATGTGTTTATATGCGACCATTATGCAGACATATGCTTTCATCTCGACGTCAGCACTATCAATTTCCTGGGCAATTTTAAGACATTTTTTGAAGCAGTCAATAGCATCATCATAACGAGCTAAGAATGAAAATGCATTTCCCATTTCAAAATGTCCATACATTTCGCTTTTTTTATCGCCTATACTTTGAAAAATTTCGATCCATTTCTTGGCGTGCAAGACAACGTTTTCAAACTCGTTCAGCTCCCTACATATGAAGGACAAACATGTATGACCTATTAACTCATAATGTGGTATTGCTACAGCTGACTGTAGTATTTCCTTCAGATACCTCAGTGAATCAGCATTTCTACCTAAGCTGTAGCTATACTTTACGAACAGAAAGCATGAATATATCATGGTATTTATATGATTACAGTGTTTAGCCATCTCTATGCATTCTTTGTACAGACAAATCAGCTGTTCAGTTGACAGTGCAAGTTCCTCTGGCAACATGGAGGCGGACGCACAGCAAAACCTTACAAAAGTAGTCTTCTTGAACATATCCATCTTCAGCTTTACTTGTTATTCAACGTTCATCTAAAATCAAACGATAAATTGATAAATAAACAAGCATAAAAAGAATCAGTGAATGACTAATAATAATTTTAAATATTTAAAATTGAAATCAAGTAAAATATTTTGTATACATCAGTGGCAGATCCAGGAATTTTAGAAGGGGGGTTACAAAGGTTTTACCAGGAATACAAGGAAAGGGGGGTGGCTTACTAAGGATAATACTGAGAAATATGAGCAAAACGGTGARGGGAGGGGGTGGTGACTAGTCACCTCCTTCACCACCCCTGGAGGGACCCAGTTAGATTTAGAAGGATTTTTCAACGTTTTTCAACGTCTCAATCCTTCTAAATCTAACTGGGTCCCTCCAGAGGGTCAGTTTTCATCTCTTGATCTTTTCATTAACAAATGTCGCCATGACATCTCTAATATCAACTTTAAACGTAAACTTAGTTTTTCTAATCTATCTAAAGAAGAATGGTCAGCCCTTCAAAGTCTACGCAATCGTAGAGACATCGTCATTAAGCCCGCCGACAAAGGTGGTGCCGTAGTCGTTTGGCGCACTGATCTTTACAAAGAAGAGGCTTTTCGTCAACTATCAAACACTCAGTTTWATTGTGAAGTCGACAAGGACCTCACACCCAACAATCAATCTCTGGTCAAAGACACTATCAACTCCTTTATCTCTAACGGCAGCCTTCCTCCTACTGCCGTTAATCTTATTATCACCACTCCTCGWACTTCTAATRTTTAWTTTTTACCTAAAATTCACAAAGATAACAATCCAGGCCGCCCTATTGTTTCTGCCTGTAATTGTCCCACTGAACTTATATCTAGTTACCTTGACTCTCTTATGCTACCTATTGTTAAGACTCTTCCCACCTACATCAAAGACACCAATCATGCCCTTCGAATCTTCAACGATTTTAACTTTCAATCCGAATCCAAGTTTTTATTTACTATGGATGTTAAGTCTCTTTACACTGTTATTCCTAATGA